GCGGTTTTGCTTTCTGAATGTAGGTATGGTTCATGTGTGTTATAGAATGTGATATGACGCGGTCAGCGCAATGTCGACGCCATCACTGAACATAGCTAATATAGGGGCTGCAATAGCAGGTTCTGAGAGTGAATTCCATGTGGCAAACACCTACTGAGAATAAAGTCCGTCGACACTCCAGCCGGCTGTGTTGTTCTGCCAATTTGAGATGGAGGTCTTGCAGTCTGTTATTGTGGCTGAGCTTTAACACCTGATAGCACGAATGATTAGTTGCTTAAAATCTGGTAAACCACGATAAGATCGCCACACAAACGCTTATAACCTAGACGGAAAGCTCCCAGAATACGCAGACACTTTTCTTAACTTGAGTGGTATAGCATTTCGACGTTATTGGTGGCCCGACGCCGTGGAATTTCAAAAACAGTGCAATCCCGTATCTGCCATGATTGCCTTGCTTTTATCGCATATTTAAGGCGCGGGCGCATGTATGCAGAAAGCAACCGGGGAAAATAGTTGGGGCAAAGTAACCAATAGACTTCTTTAATAGCCGCAAATTTTGGATGGCCCTTCTTGATGCTGGCGCGGGTTTCTCCATGCAAGCAATTTAACAGGAGCACAGTGCTGAATATCCTGATCGTCAAGCTTATAGTTGTAAAGCATTTAGTTTGTATGGATTAAGCTCACTAGATTGTTAATGAAAAGCAAAAACAGATGGGTCCCCAATACCGAACCTTGTGGCACACCGTATTCCACATGCGTAGGATTTGATACGAATTTGTAAACTTTCACTTCCAGTCTCCTGTGTAAGAGAAAATCGCTTATCCACTCTAGGAGGGGATCTGCCATGTCGTTACCGTGAAACTTGGTTGGCGGGATCATTATTGAATAAAACAGATCAACAGACCGTCAGTAGGCCATTCCATTCAAAGATACTACCCAACAGCCAGCCAGTAAAGCACGCTATTCAAAGATATCATTTTATCTCATTGCGCTGTATCTATAGGTTAAAGAAAGCTTACCAAATGTCAGAAGTTAGTCATTGATGCAAGAAAACACAATGAAACAGATAGGATGCTAACCAATTATTAGCAAAATTGTGTAGGTGAATTACCATCACTAATGCTTCCGAAGGTTTCGTTTTTGTGGGACAAATGCTATGGAAGATAAACCGCGGTTGATTAGTTGCCTAGTATGGGCCTTGATAAGCATCCATCCGTTCCATATGCACACCCCACCACATGCCGTTCGCTCACCCATTCATATATCTGAGTTGTCGGTTACGGTGTGTTATTTACTCAAATAAGTTCAAAGGCTGCGTGAATGAGGATGGTAACATTTGCTTCACGAAACCCGAGGTGTACTGATAGAATTCTGCTTTGATTGGAACACCGGCTGCCTACTCTTGGAACGTTTAGTGGACTGAAGAGTGAGTTTATGGATTCGAAACGATAAACCACTCGTAAGGGTCAAAATCAGTCTCCTCAGCAAACAGGCAACATAACACTTGCAGTAACTTTCCTTAACTAGTGTGCGCATTTGATGTGACCCGTTCACTGTGTGCCCAGCCTGATCAACTTTGCATTGATAGACGTTGCGTGGAAGCTGACGTGAACAAACTACACACATTGGTTCCCTAAACAAAAATGAAGGGATGACTAGTGGCTCAGCGGAATTTACTTCGCTTTACCTTCAACAACAGTGCCTAGATGGTCCATCACGTGATGGGTCTGGGAATCCACAAAAGGTATTTGAACATTTTGTGTGGATGTGAATCAGGAACCAACAGCATACTTTCCGTTGCTGATGGTCGACTTTTTCGTTAGATAATGCTGATTGTGTGTGAAGCCTGTTGGAAGCATCAACCGTTCTACCACGGAACAATTGGTTCGAAGCGGACATGAAATCCAGATGGCAGATCCGTTTAAAATTTTCTACCCCGCACTACTGCGTTGACTTAAAGAGGTCAGAAAGCGTCCACTTACGACGAGTGCAACTATCGCTATCGGACTAATTCGGCCTGAATTGTTGAAGCAGGGCACTTCCGTTCAAGCCCTCCATTTGCCTTGGCTCCGTGCCAAATTCCCGGTGTCGGACACGCAGCGGTACCGTAGGATGTAAGGCCTGCCCCAGTGAATAGAGCTAAGTATCGATCCAATTTACTAGTCACGTTCAAACGTTTTTACCTTAGTAGCCTTCAAGCTAGTTTTCGGTAGCATCCTGTGTCGCCTGATTATTTCTCATAATTGTAATGGTCTGGTGAGAATTATTACAAAGGGTTTGCTTCGCAAACGAGACTATTTATTTAAGCATGGGCATAATTCATGAGAAACTTGAGAACGTCTTTGGGCAGCTGCATCATCTCTCTACGATAGGAAGGGCAATAACCCATTCCAACTGAAGGAGAGTGATTACTAGCATAAACTACTGTCCACAAATTTAATCCCCACCCCTACTCTTTTGTTTCCGATAACAAGATATCAGCTTGATCTATTGACATACCGTTGATCATGATATTGCTGCCAGCCTACATTTGCGGAATTACAAAGTATCCTTCAGCTTAACGTCCTTGGACATCATTGGTCTCGTCTTCTTTGACAACGACCAGTTAAGGTAGCTCTTCACTGAACAAACATACGGGCTTGCTAAAAACTCAACGAACTCATGTCACAATCGAAGTATCACCATGTCAGTTCCAGATTCGGCCCTTTGATTCGTAAAACTCAAGTGCTGAACAGGCGCACACACCTTTGCACCAGTTGCAATTGATAGTTGATACTTCGTGTCATAGGCTGCTCTTGAAGACGGGCCTTAAGATTCACCTTATTTATCCAAACGTCGAACAACAGCTACGGAAATCGTTGATGCGCTGATAGGGTCTTCATGGTGCCGGAATGTCGTCCAACAGAACTATTGTGCTTTTCGTCGACGCACTATCCTTAGCCTTCCTAAATAGCGGGATCAACCAATCAAATAATAAGAAAACGTTACCCCTCCATTTTCACCAAACACGCGTAAGCAGGTATGATTAATATCACGAGGTACCAGCCTCACGGTTCACAGTGTAAAACGGCCATTAAACATGTGTGGGGTAAGTAGGTCTGGAATTATACTAAACTACAATTGTATCCTTATGACGGTCTATTTTTGCGTCATCTGCTCTGTTTGTGGTCCGACAGAACACAAGTACTGCGAAAAATATAAGTGATTCAGAGCGGTTTCGCTGTACTTGATGTTCACTTCCACAAACCTCGAAAGCGCTGCAGATGCCACTAAGTATTGTGGGTGAGAGAAGCTTCATAGTGGCTACGGGTATTATGTGCTACCTACCCCACCATAAATCCGAGGATCAAGTCAGCATGTAGCTGGAACGCTTGTTTAAATGTGTGCTGTGGGAGGACTAGTTCTGCGAATAAATCGGTATCATTTGGGGTCTGTAGCCATGTTACAGCTTGTGAACTGTCCCAAGTGCCCGTGCGTCTATATATTTGGTCACACTATTTCAATTAGAGTAGAGAGCTGTTTTCAATAATTCTCTTTAGGTTATTATCAGTAGGATGAAGAAACAGGCGACACAACATCCTACTGGAAGCCTGATTGAAGGTTACGATTGCACTTGGTTTCTCCGTTTGAGGCTCGTGTCAATGTTTAGACTGTTGTCACCCCGTGCTGTCCTAATGTCAACGTGTAATAGATGAACACACGTTGAAACTTTTTGCTGATCACAGAGTTTACAACATTCGTACCCCACATAAGCCAATTTCGTACACAGTGAGTAACGTAGCACCCGTGTGGTTCCTCAAGAACAGTTGACCGGGAAGGAGCTACCATCCAAGGTGGAGTGTCGGTTGAAACTTCCCGATTTCGAGCAACTTGCATGCACTAAATTAGGACACCCTTAGGCGACACACAGTCTTACCGCGGACGAAACCTAAGCAGTGAGTTTGCCTATCTGAAATGATTGATCCAACTATAATATTTGCATGCGACGAACCGATAAAAGTAATGCATCGATGCAGTCATCCATGTGCCGTACGTTCGAGTGGTTGAATTGTTTCATCAACCACACTCAGGCCCGATTGGCAACAATGCAGTACTAGTGTTTCAAGGCTAAAAGAGATCAAAGCTTGACAGATCTCTTGAGATGGTCAGAATGAGAAGCAAGAACGGACAAAGAATACCTAGGAATAAAGTTGGCTCGCCACTACTGATGAGCGTAAGCATAAGAGCTACAGACCTGAGAAAACGAGCGGAATTTAGCGAAGAATAACACTAGAAGCAGAGCACTCTCATTACTTTTTCTTATCCAAATGGCGTACCGAAAAAGTCAAAGCGAACGATTAAATCGCAGTTATTACGTTAAAGCGGCAGATCACTCTACCCACAATGAGCTCTCTATACCTAATTCAACTAGTGCCTAGCATCCGACGCGCTTGGTGCCCCTACATAGAAGCCGTTGACAGTCGGTTGAATCTTACCTTTTCCATCGGCTCAGACGACAGTTCTACTTGCCATTGAACACGTACTCGCTCTCTCTTTGTTGGGTATGCTACTGACACTTTTGTGACGAGTAAGAGAGAGTGAGACGGCGCGGGATAATGTGGATGTTTATGTTGATTCCGATACATTTCCATTCCAACCAGGTGGTCTTCATAGTTTTAACGGGTCACCAGCATAGCGATAGTACAGCTATTTACCATGGTTTGTTGTTTTGGAGTATATTTTACTACTTCATTTAGCAGGCAAGTGATCCATCTTTATTTACCTCTAACTGTTAGATGTCTGAGCTTCCCTGCATGGTGTAGCACCGCTTTGATACTGTCGCATGTGGCCAAACGGTTTATGTAATTTGCACTTGGAAAAGTGATTTGTTCCGAAATGGCCTGTGTTGGCTTCAACTGATAGAACAACATGGCTGCGAAGTTACAACTTATAACTGAATTGTGTCTGTGCAATGTCAACTTCATATTACCTTGATGACCCGATTCATTTTTTCGCTTTAGCAACCGATACACCTACGACTGCTGTCCCGGGTACGAAAGAAGCACCATGGTGAATAATAAATGTGTTCAGATGGAAGTCACATGGAAACCGATTATCCAATATTTACGAGATCGAGGATATGTAAAGGCCGCCCAGGCCCTGAACACTAATACGGGTATAGAAGATTTGGCCACCAGTCTAGCCAATAGTGTATACACTGTGTTTGTACCACAGGAAGATAATGACTTGGACGACGCAGACCCGAGCTATTCTGGGTAAGTGCATTAGATTCGAAGCGCATGATATCGATGACTTGCGTGCCAGCAAGTATTTAATTAATTAATTAAACAGATGGTGCGCAAAGGAATATTCGTGAGAAATCGTTGAGTTGCTAATGTTGGTTCTACATACTTGCCCAGTCTTGTTAATGTGCGCGCTCTGAAATACACCACCGCATTAATGAATGATAAGCGCTGTTTTTTCCAACCCAATACAACCCGCTATCCGACCAATCTGAGTTTCATTGGCGACTAATGTCATTTCGATCACTAGGCATTGTGAGGTCAAAGTGCTGGGATGCGGAAGGCAACGAAAACACGGAAGATGGAAAAAGGGAGAAGAAGGAAATTAGCAGTGGCACCATGAACGAAGTCAATTGATGCGACCTAATCTCTATGGAACAGGCCGAAAGCGCACCACGAGCAACGAGATGTGGCAGGTCAGAGCCAGTGAAAACACAGAAGGCGTTGATCGAAAAACCAATAAATCAGAGAGAAACGCCTTTGTTAGTGCTTCCAAGGCTAGCCCAAAGCAGAAAAATGCAACCGCGATCAAGCAACTTAACGACCTTGGAACAAATCCAGATTGGTAGGAATGGGACTTACAGAAGCAAAGATAAGGGGTCAATCAAACACGAACAATTCACCAATTAGGAGCGAGCCGGCGCGGGGATGTGATATCCAGTGATTTCCCATGTGCGAAGCATTGTAGGATGGAAACGTCACCTGTATATATATATATATATATATATATATTTATATATATATTTATATATATTGGTGGGTGTTTTCTTATCAGTTGTGGTGTGCAACAAAGATTGGACTCTACTGTAGCTTCGTCCTCGCTACAATAGTAAAAACTGTCGGTGAAGGCGGGGATACTTAGTGCTGACGAATTTTAGTAATATGGAGCCGCCGTTTAATACTCTTCGGATATGGGGGCTAGGTCGTGCTGGGACCGGATGTGATGAACAGGTTAAAAATTACACTTTTCTGAACAATTTCCTTTGCAGCGTGAAACGGTTGAATCGGTGATCTAAATATTGGCAGCTTCAGTGTTGGAAGCTTTAGGTGGTTCTGCTGAGACTTGACCAGTTTTACCAACACCGCAACCACGGCCTGTTTCTGACTACATTAACCATTGTGTAAGATTCTAGTCTTGGAATTGGCTACTACGATTGGTAATACAACGAAAGAGCCTACTTTTACACTAATTTGCTTGGTCCTACAAATACGTCTCTTGTCTTTAATGCTAGTCACAGAACCTAGATGAGCAAAAGGCCAGTAGAGTACTGTGTGCGACAATAAATACAATTGCTGTCTACCTGGTGTACAACACAGTTTGTTGGTTCCAATAATCAACCTTGGTGTTCCTAATCAATTATGATTCGGTGCTAACAATTTTGGGTGGGTAGTGGAGGTGGTAATATAAGAAAATGATGTCACAATATTCTCTGGTGTCAAAGTTCGAAATTCATGTATTGTATGTACTTAGGTTGTCAAATAACATGCTCATAATAATTATGTTTGGACCGGAAAATGGTGATTCAAAGACGAACAATTGCACCGCATGCTGAGTGAAATACCTTCATGGATATGCTTACCGAACCACAGAACCTACAAGCTGGAAGTAGTTCCGCGGTTTTTAAATTTGCTTAGGTGGGAAAGCCTTGGCTACGAACCGATGTTATGGAGTTTGGGGTTATTGGTTGCAATATGATAACACCTATGTGATGATCAGGTTCGACTTAAAACTGCATATTACAAACCACGCGCACAACGGAGTTCAAAAAGCAAGGAATGAATTCCTGAATGATGCAGCAAGTGCTACTCGCATAGTCTCAGTAAGTAGTGACAAGTACAGTTGTGAAATACTGCGAACATTCGTTTCTTCCAAAATCTGTTTATCTCGATCCGAAAGTATATACCAGTACGAAGGCACCCATAAAAAGAAAAACAGAACAAGAGTGACAGTTTGGAATAGAGGACCCTACGGTTACTTCCAACCAATGACGTCTGAACTTGATATTGAATCTACTGAGGCAAACATCTAGCGTGGGCTACAAACCTACACAGGAAAGCAAAACCGTCTGTCCCTAAAACACCTAAGGTTTACTAAGTGGATGGCAGTAATCGTTTTAAGGTATCTTCACTTATGTGTGTGAAGTAATGCAGCTTGGATTTCGTACACTGGGAGTCTAAGCGCGCCAAATGATATCTAGCTGCCAGGTTAATTCGCTGCCAGCAGATTTGTTTACACAACTAAGCCTATGTTGAACGCTAGCAGGTAAGTATAAACCAGCAGTCACTGTGTGGTTAAGCTTAATCACAGCGCCCGCAGTCTGGTGATCTAGGCAGACGAATGGTACTGAAAATTACGCGGCAATTTCTTGGTTCTAATCTCATGACATGGCTATTACAAAACATGCTCGTGAAAAATTTCCTACTAGTTAATCTAATGACATGGGTCCTTAGCATTAGCAGACAGGCATATGATCTCCGACCAGTACATCAAAGCCTGAAAGCGAAGGGTGTAGCTACTAGGCTAGTATCCGATGCGTAGGTACGATAATGGCTGACACTCTGGTCTACTAGATACACCTGGCAGAGACCAGTAGCTGCGGTAAGGATGTACACCATTGGGCTATCGTTGATAGTAATTCGCAAGGATTTTGAGATAGATGAAAGAAACGGACTTGAGTTATCTCATGGTGCACCATTAGTACCTTTTTGGGTGAACCGGAGTTTCACTTCCACTCATGACGCTCACTGTCTTGCGAATAATTTTTGTGCACCTCATCATCATGCGATAACCGCTCTTCCCATTTAGTCGGGACAACGCAGCGCGGATGTTGGTCGCCGCCGGTAGACACTACTCATATGGTTTCACCAATGGACGCAAAATTCGGAATGAACATTCAACGGACCTGAAAATTACAACTTACTCCAACGGGGTAGGTAATTACTATTACATTGCCGGCATTATAATAAGTTAAAAATGTAGTACTATATCCGGTCGGTTATTTTTGGCTGTGCTGACAAGATCACTTTGTGTTAACTTTCTGCGTTCATTGGAAGTATTTCGTTGAAATTGAGCTACGATTCAGTTTCATTTCCGATGCTGAAATTTCCGACCAGAAATACTTGTGTTTTCATCGCTTGTTTTCGGCGATCTTGCTATCGCCATTTTCTTCGTCAATTGGCCGCCATCTTGTTTTCGGATTATTCACAATGCCGAAGCAGTCCTCCTGTGGAACTTGCTCCAAACTAGTCGGATACCGTGCAAATGCCCTCACGTGTGTTTTGTGCCAAGTTAAATATCACATTTCATGTGTTGAATTATCAGTTGAGCATTTTCATCGTCTTCGCGAGATCCAACACGATTTCGTCCAAACTATATGTGAAAATTGCCGAAGTAAGATACAGCCAGAAAGAGTAAAGCCGACATGTAGGCCTCAGCGTTTCGTTGCGAACAGCTCCGTTTGTTTGGCCCAACAACCTAGCGCGAAGAGCCTTCAGGTTTCGGCTCAGTCGTCCTCCTCTACCCGTGTAAACTCACTGACACGAAGTCCAATCGTTGTAAGAAGCCCAGTTGCAACTGGGCTAAATTGTTTACCTTTGTTGTGTCCACCGGACACTGATGTCCCAGCAGGTGAAAGTCTGAGTGCTGAAGACCAGTGGAAAGAACAGAGGACGAAATTACGAAGGAACGTTGGGCGTTTACGTTCTGTAAGTCAACAGTTAGCTAAACCACTTGAGGCTGGCAGTATCCTTCGCCCTGCAAGGCCAACCTCGTCCGACCAGAGGCGTTATAATCTCGTGATCTTTCACGCACCGGAGTCCAGTGATCCATCACCCCAAATGCGCTACGATCACGATGTCGAGTTTTTACAGGGTCTAATTGATAGACTCCTCGACGCTGGTGAGGACTCGGTAAAAGTGAGGCAGATTACCCGTCTTGGAAAGCAAGGTGATCAACAAAATCGGCCTATGAGAATCACTTTTGTGGACGAAGCCAGTCCAAGACTGATCATGTCTCGCCTAAGTAGGCTGAAAGGTTTGAAAATACATGTTCGTCCCGACCTAGACCCAGTAGACAGGGAGCGGCTCAAGTCTGCCATCATTGAGTTGAAAAGACGCACTGGTGAAGGCGAAACAAAGCTTCGTATCGTAAATTTTCGGGTGGTTTTCAACAATCCGCGAATCAGGATAAACAGGCTGCTCACACTTCAAGCACGCCCGGTGGCTCCTGCTGCGGCCTGCGAGTAGCCTTCACAGACGTGTGCAGTGTTATGAATAAGCGCGATGAGCTTTGTTGTTTTGTTGCGTCTGAGCGGCCAGACGTAGTGGGACTCGCAGAGACATGGCTGCATGCAGAGTTATACACCCAAGAACTTGAACTCAACGGTTACTCGTGTTTCCGATGCGATAGACTAAAGAATGCCCACGGTGGTGTCTTACTTTACATCCGGTCTTCCCTGCGTGGGAGACTTGTGAGCACCTGTGTGAGCTACTGTGGTGCTCCATGCGCCTCAAGCGCGGAGAACTGCTTGTGGGCGCAGTTTATCGCAGTCCCCTGAGTCGTTGTTTGGATTGGCTGCCCATTCTTCGGACCCACATGAGTCGTCCACACTTTCTGCTTATGGGCGATTTTAACTGTCCTCGAATACGATGGCCTGATGTGCATTTGATGCCTGGACATAGTGAGGTTAAAGCAAAGTTCGTGGATTTGGTACTTGAAACTGGTGCATCGCAACACATATGCCAGCCAACACGCATATCAACACTTTCAACCCCGTCCTGTCTCGACCTGATGTTAACGAGCTACGAACAACGAGTGCGTAACATTAGGATTCTGGAGCCCCTGGCTACGAGCGACCACTCAGTACTGATAGCTGATATGGAATTATCTTTGCCGTATTCACATCCGCTGCAAGCAGCTCCCAACTAATGGAAAACGGACTTCGATGGTCTAGCTCGAGCCGCGAGCCAACTGGATTGGTCTCTGTCACAAGCTGCATCTGTGGAAGATTGTTGGATATTTATAAAGAGAGATTGACATCATTGTGTTCCCAATTTGTGCCATTGAAATGTCGAAAGGTTGGACCGATTAAGCCTCATTGGTTTGATAAGGAACATGGAAACCTGGCTCGGAGGCGGCGCAGACTGTGGGACAAATTCCTTCTCTCTGGCTCTGCTAATGGTTACGAAAGGTATAAATGTCAGCGGAATCTCTGCAACAGTGCAAAAAAGAATAAACGCCGACACTTTGAAGAGCAGATTGCATTAGCCGCGAAAACCGCCCCGAAGAGAATCTTTGCATACGTGAAGCGACGCCTGAAGCCGGCGGGTGATGTGCCAGTGCTGGATGGCACGGATGGACAGCCCCTAACTTCCAGCACTGAGCGTGCGTCCGCGTTGGCGGCGCACTTCGCTTCTGTATTTGCGAATAACCAGGTGTCTGTTCCGAGTTCAAGGTGTACCACTTTTACCGAACTCGATAGTCTGCATTGCGGCGTTGAAGAGGTAGCTCAACTACTCGCCAACCTTGACGGCACCAAACCTGCTGGACCTGATGGGCTTCACCCACTGGTTATCAAGTCACTTTCAACCATCCTCTCTCCTGTCGTGACTGACATTTCAACAGGTCACTGTCTGAAGGTTCGTTGCCGGTTGACTGGAAATGTGCGGTGGTGAAGCCTATTCCGAAAGGCGGCAACCCTAGCAAAGTAGACAATTACAGGCCAATTTGTCTGACACCTATTTTGGCAAAGGTTGCTGAGAAAATCGTGAAGAAGAGATTGCTGCAGTTGCTACAGTCAAACGAGGTCCTGACGCCCGCACAGCACGGTTTTATGCAAGGTCGCTCATGCATTACGAACCTGCTTGTGACGAGGCATGAGTGGTTGAAGGCAATAAACAAGGGGAAGTCCGTCGACGTGATATTCATCGATTTCAGTAAAGCGTTCGACAAGGTCAGTCATGAGGTTCTCCTTCACAAACTCAGCATGTGTGGCGTCGGTGGCTCACTGCACCGGTGGATCCGCGACTTTCCTGTTGGACGAAAGTGGAGGGTACAGGTCGACGACCATCTAACTGACTGGTACCCCTCTACAAGTGGCGTACCTCAAGGCACTGTGCTGGGGCCCACTCTGTTCCTGATGCACATCAACGATTTACCGCAGCTTCTCCGGTCGCCGCGTGCCTTGTTTGCGGACGACATGAAGATTTGGAGAGAAATCGACGCTCCCGATGACTGTGGCCTACTTCAGAAAGACCTCAACCGCCTATCCACATGGTCTGCAGAAGTTCTTCTCCCGGTCAACCCAGCCAAGTCGGTATTTATGAGCCTGGGGAAGGGTGCTAACGGCCGAACCTACACCCTTGATGGCCAAACGCTATATCCCACACCCTCCGTGAAGGACCTAGGTGTACTCTCACGCTACGATTTGAAGTCCGTGGACAACACGAACAGGCTATATCGGAACGGACTGCGCATACTTTGGGCGCTCAAACGTAGCTTCGGCACATGGTCTGAAGAGGTTGCCACTCGCCTGTTCTCTTCTATCATTAGACCAATGCTAGAGTACGGTTCGCCCGCCTACTTTCCGATTACCCGAGGCGAGGCACAAAAGATCGAACGGGTCCAACACGTTGCTACCAGGCTGATCCCGAGTTTACGTGGCTTTGGGTATGAAGACCGGTGCGAGAAACTAGGACTCTACACCTTGTTCCACCGTCGGATGCGAGTCGACCTCATTATGACCTACCGAATTCTACATCTCGGTGAGTTCCCCATGCTAAGGCCAATGCTATACTTACGAGGGCTATGCAGCACAAGCGGTCACAGATACAAACTTGTCGTGCCGGATATGAAACGTGTTCCCCACCCACTGTGCTTCGAACGGAGAGTGGTAAATATTTGGAACAGTTTGCCCGAACATGTGATTGAGGCAACATCTGTTCAACAGTTCAAAACGTTGTTAGATTTGTATTTTGCCTCTATTCGATTCAGAGAACGACTGCACACTTACGATGACATATCACATTTGTGAATCCTGAAATATCGTAAGTCGAATATTTTAAATATTACATGAGAACGACAATGATATTCAATGTTGACAACTTTTATAACGTTTTTCGCCATATTTCGAAAGAGTTGTACAGAATCCATTTCTACTTGCTCTATAATACAGTATTCAGTATTCAGTATTCAGTATTTGTCGAAACTGTCAGTTAATCCAACCGCTTGGAAGCACCAAGAATATGCGAGGGTCCCTGGTTTAAAAATTTGTATCTTTTCCACATGTCGTCAAATGCCTGCATTCAACCGAGTCTATGGAAAGACCGAGTAGGTTAACGATAGCATACATGGTCAAATATATCGGTAGAGAATCAAATTTCTGGACCACTCAGAATGGCGAGCTACATCATTTGACAGCCGCAGTGATGATTTGCAAGGCAATAAGAGATGCATTCAGCTTGGATGGACAGAACACGATTTTATACTTTCTTAATTGGAGAGCGTTTTGTGTCGTAAGATCGCATGTCTACTTTGGATCCGGTCCTGTTGATGGGAAAGACCGAGGTCTGCTTCAAAGTAAACCCAGCTCCAGACGGAGACTGCTTGTTGCAAATCAAACACTGTACCTACTTCAAAGCCCAGTATTATACTGTGCCAAGTGGCTGCTTGGACAATACCACAGATGCGCCTTAGATATGGGTACTTTGCACACATGCTATTCCAGTAAACTTACCTTGATTGCTACCTTTGAACAGTACTATTGCATTCCGAAGCTTAAGGTATCCAATGAAAATGTGCACATTTGTTAAAGTGCTGTCGATCTTTTTGTGAACTTCGGTTTGTATGAGAAACTAAAGACTTCTGTTTATGGCTTTGCGACAAATTTCACCCGACAGAATAGCATTTGTCGACATGGTAACATTCAAGTGGAGGAGAAAATGTTAAACAGGAAGAAGCAGAGCTTCTCCGATGAACGTGTTACTGAGTACTTGCTAAGGGGTCGTTTGCCTAACCACTCGTCGACGCGAATCACCCACCATTTCCTTTTGCGCTGTGTAGTTGAACTGCTGCAACTTTCGAATGCAGCCTACGTTCAAACGCCTACTTCAAACGTTTGAAAAAAGGCTATATATATATATATATATATATATATATATTAAAAGCCAAAACTAGCGAGATGACACCGTCAAGCCGCCACTGTCAAATAATATACTTTGCTTGTGAAGTTGCGCCCCAATGCGATTTCACACCCAAGACAGTTGTTATGTAATTTAGACTAGTGATTCACTAAGCGATGATTAGCTCAGAATTGCGCTTGATTAAAAAGGACTGCATGACGGCTCTAGCTGATCCTTGGAACCAACGGATCACTCCCATTGCTGTCTTAAGCAGTCAAATGTTTTTCTGGCCGGCATGATCTTAGTAACTAGAATCATGTTGTGTCACCGCCGACTGTTCACACCCCGCGACCACAGAGAGAACACGAAGACGGGCTAGGACCGAGTTGTATACATGCGAACACAAGAGATGCAAAACGAAGCAGCAAAGAAGAAGCGATAAGGGTGAGAGCCATTTGCGCATGTTCCAGAAAACGGCATCAGCTGAAATGGGACCCCGAAGAAACATCCATTACGAACAACGTAGGCTAGCCAATCAATGAGGTAAAACAAACATCAAGTAGCAGACGATGCGAAACGAAAGCAAGTGACAAAGACTTGTAACACAGAATATTTATGTCGAATTGACTTCACATTAAAAATCAAACCTCGCCGTTTAACATGCGATTACCGACCGGACTTCTGACATACAGCACATTCCCAGCCCGAGGAGTACCAAGGGAAATACGAATTCATGGCGGCCGTTGCGAATGTTTGCTGTGGACCAGTCAGCCCAACAGTTAAGCTTCCAGTGGGCAACCATGCTTACTTATCGTATTGATTACAAACTGGAAAGAAATTGGGTTTGGGCGGAAGCATTCATAATGATTAACTCTAGCGCGAGACGATACCAAATAATCCCCACAGGAATCACTATCCCGACTAGGACTGCGTATGCGAAGACCCAGTTACAGGACGTAAAGAACAGGTCTCGGCTTATCGCCGCCAGCAGTCATCATCAGCAAGTGTAAAGCCTTTCGATCAGTCCACGAATTACCCAACTGGGAACCCGTAAACAAATGCAGCTAATCAGAAAACCCGAATGTTTGCACAACTGCGACTCCAGTGGTAATTGTTATCTACGGATACCATGATACATTTTACCTTGTGGGGTAACTGTGATCCCAGAAGAAGAGCCAGGTAGCGCCGGGAGAGCGTTAGCACAAGTTAGGTGTTTGTCATCCAAGGGTACAGACAACCGTGGTCGTGTGAGATCCAGCCGCAGGTACAGAATTGGTACAACGTGGAATCGATAACGAGTAACCGCCTCCGGAGCCAGAAGGGAATTAGCTGAATCCTACAACAACTGGGACAAACAGATGAAATTCGGCCCACGAGATCAATGATGCTTGAAACTCAGAACCCGTCGCATTACAACCTGATTCAGATGATAACTAACAGGTTGTTTTGTGGTTAATTGATTCTGGTGGAAGACAAGTAGTGGTCCTGCATTATGATGGATTGTTTGAACGCGTCACAACTGAGATTGCTGTAGTGGGTGGAGACCATTGCATCACTGTCATGGCTGTCTAAACATCACACCTTCCTTTAATCGAAATTATGTGTAGCTAACATAACGAGTAGTTTAAAGTTTGGCACATTATACACTCAGTATATGCGATTGCAAGTTCTACACCAGGAAGGTAATTAGCGGTCCTGTTGATTGGAGTTGCCAGTAGGGCGACAGATACGGGGATATTTTCCTAACATCTTTGGTGTGAACACGTGCACAAATGGTTTTTAAAAGACAACCGGGAATTTGTTACGTTAGGTTTCCTTTTGATTAGCCAGATTCCCCAAGGCTGTTTTAATGAACCTCTCTCCTATTCCGTATATAAGAGCCGATTAGCAGTTTTTGGCTGGAGTCTCACATTTGGTTTCCCCTACGCAATTTATTCTCTTGTTAGTCCGTGTTTAACTATGAGTATTTTCTTTCCCCAGACCACTGTTTATGCTTTAGAAATATTCCTTCTGGCTATCTGCAAAGTACCAAACATACGTTTTATACGTATTGCAATATATTTTAGGTGGTGCTTTGCCAATTTTTAGAGAAACGGTATTTTAGGAGAATGACTAACCCTGATAACCAGTTTTCAAGTTAACATGTCATAAACCTACTAATTTTATGCAGCAAACAATAAGTTATTTTACTTTCATCGTGTTTACAGCTGGTCTTCATAGAGTGCAAAATGTTACTCAGTGTCGACCACGAAACTACCAACGGACTTGTGCACTATACAGACGGAGTAAGTTCGATTCCATGTTTTGTAGAGTAAAGCAACTTAGGCATGTCAGTTCCTCAGTCGAAGTAAGACTGATCAGATTCACAAGTCTGTTTGCATAACTTCCAACGAGCACGTCTTTGTCTATCGCAAGGTGACTCAAGTGCCGCACACTGAAAAAAGAAATATTGGAATCTTCTAGCGAATGAGTTTGGTTAGTGTTGTGCTGTCCATCAGCGTACCAAATTCCCCTTTTTTCGACGTTGATAAAACATCTGATGAAGGAGGCACCTGATAGACTGTTCCCTTTGAGGATCCCTGGTTAGATTTGTACACGCGAGCAATAGAACACGAATGGTCATCGTGCATTCGGTAATGCGGCTTGGGAGCATGTGGACTTAGTGCATGAACAAGGTTTAAGAAAGTTCAAAATACCAACACTTTCCGCTCTTTCTAACCCTTCGCAATACAACCGACCCCAGGCTTCCTGATTTCGAAATCCATCAGGAAACACTATAAATCTAATTCGCCACCACAAGTTGAAACGCTCTCTGAGTACCAGGATATATGCGTCCCCAATCTCAGTGGTCACAGCCTCATAAGCCGTGCACAGCTAGAATAACGTAGAGCTATCCGAGCTCGCCCTCATCCCACAAAGAGTGTTAATGTGTGCTTCAGGTCCATAGTGTAAGCCCGCCGAGTAGTTAAAGTCAGCCGACTGCCCGTGCTCCAATCACTTACAAGGAGTCGAACCAACGTATTCATTTTCACAATCCGTCACTTAAATTCTGAGCAGATGTCTAATTAAGTTGTTTCTACCCATTTTCAGAGGCTCAGATTTGACTTCCACTTGAATACATTGCTACTTCTTGAGTGTTCGAACAGTTACTCAGTAGGAATGCTCTATACTTCCGTTATACGGGTCGGATGTACCAAGCTTTTTGTTCAGTGGTGTGACTGGCATCAACTCGTTTGGATGTAACTATGGCCGCCGCTGATTTTGGGATTACCGTGCTGGATTCCAAATTTTTCTTCGGGATTGCTGTGTTATACGTGCTTCTTCTGTGTGCATCGTGCACCAACATTTTTCTTTTGGTGTATTTTACAATCGGTGCGAATTTGATGGATGTCATGTGGCTAATTCCGCAGTTCTCATTGCTTGGCCAATTGCCGTCTGTGTCCGCCATCTTGGATTTGTGCTATTGTAATCGGCCATCATGAGCACCGCGCTGGTAACCTGAAACGAAGTATTTGGTGTTAATCAAACTTGTGTTAAGGTAGTGAAAGGAGGGTTTACTTGCACAAATTGCCTAGACCGGTACCATTCGAAATGCGTCAACATTTGTAGAACCAATATAAAGAAATACGATACGCCGGGTTCACTTAAAATCTGTCAGAAGTGCACAGCAGTTCCAATAGTAAAATGCGTATTAGCGTTAAAACAAACGTACGACAGCCAACTCTCCGAAACTGAACATGCTTTGAATGCAACAATCTCTGTGCTCGAAGCGACAATTGCGCATCTTGTATCGCATCCGTCTCCCTCAGTTGCTTCCTGGAAACCAAAGAAAAGTGCCAGGCGTTCACATGGCCACGCAGTACTAGAAACCTTGGGAACCACGAACCAAGTCGTCGTCGAGACCGATAGAAGCACGCCTAGCCCCACCGCCCACATCCTCTTATCCAATGTATTGACTGATGCAACATCAGTAACACACACCCTTCCGATTGACCAACGAAACCCGAAGCGCTCTAAAGACCGATCCACCTATGCAACCTTTTCTGCTCGGTATAACCAAAAAGTGCCCTCAGTAGCCTCACCTAGTACAACCAGAAAACTGGTCAATGACCAGATGCAACCTGCACAGACGTCACTAAATCCGTCGATAACCCTGCTTCCCACGTCACCGAAGGCCAGGCGGAACTACAGAGCCTTGAGCCTTATATGCATCAACGTTCCCAAGTGCAAAGCAAACTACTTAAAAGGTAAACAGCTGGATGATTTAAATCTTTATACTTTCCTTTATGATAAAATCGGCGTTCAAGCTAGTCCGACTAATATAATGCTCATCACTAGACATCCAACCTCGAATCATTACAGGGAGCCCCGGTTAATGCCAGTAAAATTTAGATCATTACCTGGCGTCGCGATGGTGCTTTCGTCGGCATACCGCCTGTGGGCTAAAACAGCGGAAAACGCATATTTCCGGATGTTCCATGGAGTGAACGCCAGCGGAACAAAAATGACTCAAATGACCACCACGCGGAGAGTGACAAAAGATTTATTTTCGTTCATGGCGTGCCCTAGCTACCGACAACCAGCAACGAAGAGTCCAGCTCCATGACTTGGAAGAATGGCGTTACATCCATGAAGTTTTCTGTACGGGCGAGGTCATACTTCAGTCGATTACACGGTTACCCATGTCGCCAAACTACAGGGGCAGTGGCCCGAGGATACTGAAACTAACCGTGTAATCAGAACAGATGGTCGTGAACTTAATCCGTAGCTGGTCATTACTACGCAACTTACTTCCTTCGAAACTACGACTGAAGAGACAGCAGTTAGAGAGCCGCAGCCACTTGCCGTGTTCACGGAAACGACACCACCTGCGACTCAATACAACCACAACGGCGATTCGGAAAACCGTCTGCTAAGACCCGTAGCTATCGAGAAGGTTGTTGATGAACTACATACCGTAGATACAAGTGAGACTAAAAACAAATTGCATTCCTATCGAGATTTAGCAATTCACCCAAAAAACGATTAGGTGCCGGTCTCTCAACGGTCGGCACAAATTCATATCCTTCCTATGCTCCTAGTCAACAGATTTTGACGTCCGAGAAGCTATCCTGTATTTACATCAACACTCAAGACTTACTGAGTAAACTTTCGGAAATGCGGATGCGTCAAATATCAAAAGTCTGCGACCTCATCGCTACAACGGTGACATGGTTACGCCCTGACATAAGTGACATGGAGATCACACTGCCAGGCATGTCCACTGTTCGGCACGACTGATCCAGCAAAGGGGGAGTGGTGTCTCTGTACTTCCGCAATGAGCTGCAATGTGAGCTCATAGAGGATCCTGACAGTACGGTACAAAATTCTCTTTGATGTTGTCTACCTTTAAATGTCGACGACACTCGCTTAGTGTTGGTCATTTACTGCCGTCCTTCCTCCACATCTTAGATGGACTCCCATTAGTCATCCACAATAAAGAGGATGATAAACACAACTTCCAGTCACATTCTCATTTTTGGCAATTCCAACATCCAGGCTCTGGAATTCTAAGCAGCTCTTAGAGAACAGTTTAAGGTCGATCTACAAGAGTTTGTCTCCAGGTACCCGCTGTACGGCCACATCAACACTTCCACCCGATTCCGAGAAAAAGATAAGGCGTCCATACCGGATCGGATATGCACCAACGGAGAACTAATGGTCGAGTGGATGATGGTCGATGTCCCCTTGGGCCGTAGTGGTCATGCAGTACTGCTCTTCGCATACATTTTCTATACAGAATATCCCGTGAAAATTGTTGACGCACCGAGAAAGTATGTACGCTACGACATATTAGTTCGACCAGGTGCGACCGTCAACTGGAGCTTTCTGGCAAAAGAGGCAGCAGCTAGTGCATGGGAACATTTCTTCAGCCAGTTTAACTCTCTGGTTGCCGAAGCATCAGTGAATGAAATTTTCCGCACAAGAAACTTGGTCTCTTTTCTGCGAAGCAACGCACGCAAGTGTATAACGGTGCGCACCTCAGGCTGGCATACCTACAAACTCTCCCCGAGCACTGAGAACTGTATGGCCTATGCGATCCAACGTAACCACTGTATTCAATTTGTTCGCGAGGATAAAATGGCGTACCAGTGGAAGTTAGCAGTGCGTATGGCCTCAAATCACAAGCATCTTTGCCAACACGTTGACAGTCTACGTAAGGTGAAACGGGGAAATCCTACTCTTCAAACAGCGGACGGACCCATACGGACACCAAAGGAGGTGGCGAATACCCTGCACCTACAATATGCTGCAATATTTCAGTGCGCTCACTGGCCACCTAACCATTTGACGATGATTGTTTTACCCCTAAAACACTCAAATATCCTTCACAGGGAAGGCTGTACTAAAAAAGCTGTTGGGTATGCGCAAGCACAGCTTTCCTGGAGTTGATATTATATCTACGAAATTGCTAGCGGCGGTAAGAGAGAGTTTAGCTGAGCCATTGACTCGATACTTCCAACACTGTTTTCACGAACTGTATGTGCCAGACATGTGGAAACACGTTATGACTACTTCTATTCACAAGAGAGGCAGTCGTTCCAATCCGGCCAACTACCATCCCGTATTCTTACTACCGATACTTTCAAAGGTCATGAAAACTATTATTTCTGATGCGCTAACGGCCTAGTTAAGATAATCTATCGCGCACCGGAACATCATGTCTTCCGACGAAATTGATGGTGCACTAAAAATCTACGACTAGCATGATCCAGCTGGGCTGAAGCAGTAGACTCTGGCACAGGAGTTGATGTTGTCTTTCTCGACTTCTCATAGGCTTTCAACTGGTTAGACCACGATATTCTGCTTTTCAAACTCCAGATCTTTGGTATTGGTAACCATCACCTAGGGTGAATCAGAAGCTTGCTTTTACATCGGTGCTTGGAAGTACGTGTGCGTGAATCGCCGTCAGATACCCTCCGGGTTGAATGCGGAGTACCACAAGGATCGGTACTAGGACCGCAATTATTTTTGACGTACAAGGACGCTATCACACCTGTCATAAACTTGAACGGCCTGCTTTATGCTAATGACATCAAGGTGTGGAGGGCGATCAATACGTCAGATGATATCACAGTAATTTAAGCTGATCTGGATAGGGTATACACGTGGTCAATCCAGAATATACTTCGTTTTAATATGGACAAATGTAGAGTGCTGCATCTACGGCACAAGTTGGTGCACTCCTACAAATTCGGTAACCAGGACGTTCAGACGTCTTCTGGCGAGAAGGAGCGAGGAGTTTTGGTCCAGATCGACCTAGGATGTTCGCATC